CTATTTTACAGCTGCCCTTTTGTAAGAAGTACTTTTCCCAAATAAAACAATAGAAAAACAAAAACAAAAAAGATGCAACAACTAACCCTCCTAGCAGCAGAATATAGGAGTTCTAGTTGCACTACATTTTTACCACTCCTGGTATTGTCAGTCTTTCTCAAGTGAGCCACTATAATGTCAGGAATTAATATTCCATGTGGTTTTAGTGTTAATTGCCCTCATGACTAATACTGTTGAGCAGCTTTTTACAAATGTATCGGCCATTTTATCAAGTGCCTGTTAAAATTTATTGCCCATTTTCTATTGTGCTTTTTCCTCTTGATTTGTAGGAATTTATTTACTTTAGATATGAGATTTTTTCCAGTTGCAAACATCTTCTCCCATTTCCTGGTTCACTTTGATAGTCTCTAAATCATGTCTTTTGATGAACCAAAATTCTTTTTTTCTTGTTTAATATGTTTTTTATTGATTTGAGAGAGAGAGAAACATTGATGTAAGAGAGGAACATCCATCTGTTACTTCCTATACTGACCAGGAACTGAACTGGTGACCTTTCAGTGCGTGGGACAATGCTTAACCAACTGAACCACACTGGCCAGGGCCTGAAATTCTCAATTATAATATATTCTAATGTATCGTGGTTAGTAATTTGTATGTCCCTTTTAAGAAATCCCTGCTTATACCAACTTAAGGACTATACCCTATTTTCTTCTAGATCAGCACTGTCCATAGAAACATAGTGTGAGCCACAAATTTGAACCACGTATATAATTTTAATTTTTAAGTAGCCACATTAAAAAAAAACAGAACAAAACTGGTGGAATGAATATAAGTAATAAAAGTATTAAGGAGGTATTTTTTTCTTCCTCCTTTAAAAATAAGATTTCAAATTTCAGTGGATATTTTATACTTACAGCACATCCCAACTTGAACTAGCCACATTTCAAGTGCCGGTAGCTACATGTGTCCAATGGCTGTCATGTATCATATCAACCTAGTTTAGAGCTTTAAATGACATTCCACTTACATCGAACTCCACTATCCATGTGCAACTGTTCTGTGTGTGTGGCATGAGGTGGCATACCTAGCAAGGAAGCAAGGCAGCTTATAGAAATAAAGAAAGATCTTCAGGATCCACAGCCAATCGGGGTCCCTTCGGCACTAAAACAGGGCTTGATGAAGCTGGCACATTCTAAGTCTCTCATCTCTGTAGAGTCTCAATTTATTTCATGGGCACTTTTTCTACATGACAGGGAACAAGGCCCCCGGTTGTTCTAGAGTCATACCTCTACAACTTCCAACAGATGAGAAAAGATAAATCTAATTCTGTTTAGAAATATCCCAGCTCAGGTCACATTCCCATACCCTGTTGCCGGGGAGATGATTATTTTTCGTCAGGTCATTATATGTCCATATTTATAATCATGGGACAGAAATAACACAAAGGAGAAGCTATCCATAATATATCATGTCTATTTCTTCCATGAGATGTATTTAGAGGACTGGAGCTATACCTTGTGCACAGTAAGCACTCAGTAAATATTTGTAAATAACAGCTTTAGTCTCCTAATTTGACAGGAGTGTTTACAACAAGGCCTAGCCTGGCTGGCAAGGCTCAGAGGTTGAGCATCCACCTGTGATACAGGAGATCAAGGTTCAATTCCAGGTCAGGGCACATGCCCGGGTTGCAGGCTCCTCGATCCCCAGCAGGGGCTGTGCAGCCGATCAGTGACTCTCTCTCATCATTCATGTTTCTATCTCTCTCTCCCTCTCTCTTCCTCTCTCTGAAATCAATAAAAAATAAATAAATAAATAAAAATAACATAAGGCCTAAAGCAGGACGAGGAATATAAATGCATTTGCTTGGAACTCATTTTTATGGTACACATATATTTGAAGACCATCCAAATCCTTTGTTTATATGTTTAAAACTGTTGACTATTAGGGTGTGTTAACACTGAAAATAACTCAGCATTTTCTTTGTAACCTGCATTTTCTGCCCATATCTAGGTGATTAGAATAGGTATAGTCGTGTCTTTGGTAACTATGTGTCTTATACCATAGTACAATCCTTTTGGCCATTGGTCTAACTTTAGTGATTTTCTTCATTAATTTTTAAAAAATAGTGCAAAGGAGGAGAATGTTACTTGATACTAAAAGAATCCCCCCCCCCCCTTTTAGAATTTATCTAGCTTCCTCTCTGAGTGAGGTCTTGGTCTCAATTTATTAATTCAGTCATTTAGCACAAAATGTAAAATTACAATGCGCTCTGTGCTAGTTAGCGAGGGAACATTGTTCCCTGGGATGCTGAATGTTCTACTTTTAACTCATATTTCTTCAGAACTAATGTGTTCTCCCTTTGGGGAAACAAAGGGCTCTCCTCTCTCCATTATGTTCACTCATCAGGAGAATAGTGTGAGTGAAAGGACCCAGAGGAAAAACAGAAGGATCTTCCTTTCGTTTTCTTTTTTAGGAACTTCCAATAAGATTGAATGAGAAAAATTATCCATTTTTGTTCTTTAAAAAACATAACATCTGGGTAAAAGTGTTTATTTTGGTTGTAGAAAAACCCTCATTTGGTCTACCCAAAGCAAATTATGTATGGTTAGGTAGACAATATAAAAAGAAAATGATATAGCCTCAATTATTTGGACAGTAGAGTATTGATATGGTATAATTTTCTCAGGTGCCAACATAACACAGTGCTCACCTTCTCCATGCTCTCTCCTGGTGGATGTTTCTTTCTTGAACCTCTCTCCCCACCCCCACTGTTGATGTTTTTGTACAGACATTCAGGAGCATATTTAACGGTGTGCGTAAATGTAGCTTCAGGGCGATGTTAACGCGCAATTTTCACGGAATCCCAAACCACCTAAACCACAGCCAAATGTAATATCTGGAATTTTTTTTTTTTTTTTTGGTATTTGTTTTATGGGCCTGATTAAGAAAGTTAGTAGGGTTTAAAATGTTTTGCGTTTCTTACAGTTTCAAAGTGTTACTGGTGAGACGATGAAACCTCGGCTCTTGTCTTCTTGAGGGACAGATTACAATCAAGAGACAAAGCGTAGAAAAGAAAGCAAGAATTTATTGACTGCAGCAAAAATATACTGAGGACAGTGAAACAAGGAAGGGCATAGAAACAACAGGAGAGCCCAGGCTGAGCTGCTTTGGCTCACTGGGAAGTCAGAGAAAAGGGGAAAAGGGGGCCTTGAAGAGAGGTTCAGGGGGTTAGCCCCAGAGGAGCTGCCACTGCCCATTGCTCCCCTGGTTGCAAGTCTCATGGGGGTCCCTTAGAGGTTAGGGGACACTTGCCTGTGGGGGAAGGTGAGGGGGAAGGGAATGGCCTGGGCGTGCCCCCTGGAGGGAGATCGCCCTGGGACCTTCATTTTCAGAGGTTTTAAAGGCTGGGCGAGCCCTAGCTGGTTTGGCTCAGTGGTTAGAGCATCGGTCCATGGACTGAAAGTTCCCGGGTTCAATTCCGGTCAAGAGTACATACCTTGGTTTCAGGCTGGATCCCTGGCCCATGCAATGTTTCTCTTTCTCTTGTCCTCCCTCCCTCCTTTCCACTCTCTCCAAAAAGCAATGTAAAAAATATCCTTTGGTGAGGATTAGAAAAATAATAAATAAATAAATAAATAAATAAATAAATAAATAAATAAATAAATAAATAAAAGCTGGGCATTTAGGGGAGCTCTTAGGGGCGGATCAATAGAATATTTATCAGCTTTATGCTGATGAACCAAAATGAGATTTATTCTCTTAATTTGTCTGTCCTTGGGTGGGGTTGGCAAATGGTACTTAATTGGATTTCTGTTATCTGTCTCCTTGAGTAGGGTGATTTAAGCTATTTCCCCTCTGGTTGGGGAGAAGTACAAACCATTTACTCTTAAGTGTCCTTGGTGTAGGGAAGATAGGATTTACTAGGTGGCCACAAACTGCTCTTTAACTATCTGTCTCATTTTCCCCATTCCACTTGTCCTGGAATTTTCCTAGCTTCTTACTATTCTATAACCATAGTAAACAATTTAATCTTAGCTTATGTTTTAATTCATTTTAAATTTATAATCATAATATAACAGTAGTTCATACAATTTAGAAAAAAATAATACATGATATCATTACCTCCCAAACTATTATTCTGTATATTCCCTTTCAAGCTTTTGCTATATGCATGTTTTTATGTTATTGTGATTATCGTTCCATTTTTAAATTAGTTTTTTTAGTAATTCAATGGATCAATATGCAAATGAAGAATATGTATCTTTTATTTAGTTTAGGAGATTACCTAGGGCTAATGAGAGTCAGAAAATGACAATTTTCTAGAATCATTGTGATTTTAAAACTTGTCACACTCGGTGATTTTAAGTACTGGTTTTTTATTGACAGTAAGAAAGAATTGTTATCTTTTAATGTTGAGTAAGGCTCACAATTGTTATGTACATGACAGCAGCTATACAGAATCATTCTAACTTTGTAAATATTAGATTTGATTGTGTTGCTAGGTAACACCCCCCCATCCCAAATAAAAAAATGAAATAAGCAGGAAATAGATTACAAAATCTAAATTTTGTTTCATAAACAGTGCAGTTCTGGGTTACATTTTATTATCAAAACAGTTCAGTGTAAAAGGAAAAAAGGAACTCTACAATGCTGTGATCATTTCCTGTTTCATTTTACTTTCTTTCTTGGGTCAAGAGCTTTTGTCCCTCACTAGGAGTTGCTTTAAATCCCTGGGAAAGTCTGTTCTGCATTTACTCCTTGTGGATTGGTTAAGATACCTTTTGAGTGTGTGCTTTGCTTTGTTCTCTGAGACGCTTAGGTCAGTTGAGCAACATGCTGCTACTGTTTAAAAAAAAAAAAACAAAAAAAGCGCTGAGTCATGCTGGAGCTTCTCTTGTGGCTGATGCAAACCTGGAGGATTTGCATCATCACTTAGCTGGAGTTAAGTTGGTGTGACAGGCAGGAGCTTAAATACCAGCCCTGAGGAAGCTGGGCTGGGCTGTAATGATAGGGCAGCCGCGGCAGGCAGCCACTGCTCCGAGGTGTCCGCGGAGGTGTGAGAGCTGGAGCCCTAGGAACCCACAGGTGCTCCGGAGGAGTAAGGAGGCAGCTAAAGGGGAGAAGACTCCTCTGAGTTTTTGAACTGTGAACACAGTGGCCCTGAGAGACACTCTGGGAGCAAAGAGGAAGGGATTGGTTACTCACACCAAGAGACACCAAAGTTGAAAGTTTCAGGGTGTTTTTGTTTGCCTGTTTCATTTTTCCCACCGCGTGTCACTGCAATGATCAGAAAGCCTGTTGTGTCCACCATCTCCAATGGAGGTTACCTGCCCGGCACTGATGAGGAGAGGCTGCCTTCCCTGGGTGGCAAGCAGCCCCCTGGGCAGGAGGCAGTGATGCTGAAGAAGAAAATTACTTTGCTGAGGGGCATCTCCATCATCATTGGCACCATCATTGGATCGGGAATCTTCATCTCTCCCAAGGGCGTGCTGCAGAACACGGGCAGCGTGGGCATGTCTCTGATTGTCTGGACCGTCTGCGGGGCCCTGTCGCTATTCGGTGAGTGCAGCTTCTTCTTGGGGTGGGTGTCTGTGGAGCTGGGCAGTTCGCTCTCCGGGAAAGCAAAGGGTAATGTTTAAGCAGTGAATGAAGTGGCAAAGGCTATATATCAGATTTTCTGATTTTTGTTTAGGTATGTGAACTACCCAAACACAGTGTGCACTGTTGGCAGGATCCTGAATTCCTTCCGATCGATTCCTGCAGGCTGTGCTAGCTTTGCCTAACTAAGACAGACTATTTTCTGACTTTTCCCTGTGGTGACCAGAGCAAAGGCTAACTTAGATGACCCAGTGGAATCCATGCAAGCTTTCTGTCCAGGGCGGTTGTGCTTGGTTATGTGTGTTTGGGACGTCTTGGCAGCTGGCACGTTGAATGAAACACCTGGGAAGTGAAACCCGGTGTGGCCTATTTAGACCTGGAACGGAGTGTTCAGCACAAGTTTTACTGACTTTTTTTTTTTTATTGGCAAGACAAGCAGGTGGCAGTCTTTTCCTTTTACATTTTTTAACTTCATGTGCTTGTCAGTTCCTGGGATTCTATCAAAAGTCCTTGACGTGGAAAGATGTATGACGGCAATTGTTATCATGAGTGGGTGTATGGCAAAGGTCTGAGCATACTTCAGATTTTTTTAACCTTTCATCTCTCCCTAATACCTACGAACTTGTGCAACATAAATTTTAAAACTGGAATTGGGCATGAGTTTGCTGTGCTTGCCCAGATTTGTTTTCCTCATTTACAGTCTGCTTGTTCTCTGGAGACACAGCCCATTTGTCCACCTGTTCACTGAACAGAACTGCTAGAAGAAATATGATTATTAATTTTCCTTCAAGATCGAGATTTCTTCTGTTGATGTGACAGTTAATAGTAAAGAGGCAATAAATGCCCCCTCATGAGGTGAACAAATTACTAGAAAGCTACATGAGTTAGTTGTAAAGATGACAAAAACTGGTGAATGGTTCACAAAAATAAATTTCATTTTTGCTATGGGATAAATGTTTAAGATATATTTGCTTTTCTCTGGCACACTGTGTTTTGATTTCAAAAGTCACCACTCTGTAAAGCTACTAACTCTGTTATAACTCTAGGACCAAGTACTAACTCTTGGTTCTATACACGTTAGTCCATTCATTCCTAAGGCCTTGTGATGCTTTAATGCATTGGTTTGAGCATTCATTTAGAGAACTCAAATTTCTGTTATTAGTAACATGTCATTTTATTTATTTATTTTTAAAAGGAAGAAGGTATTTTAAAGAAAACCTGTTAAACCAGGATCTTTGTTCAAGAAGACCCATGGGGGAATAATTTTTAAATTTTTAAAAAGAGTCGTGGTATTCACATGGTCTGGCATGTACATGTCTAGCCAAAGAGAAACTTAATTGTTGATCATCTTAAATGACTTTGCGCACCTTCAGCCTGTAATCTTCTACAATGGTGGGTCTATTTGGAGTAAATCTGTGTCTAATAAGAAAAACTATACCACTTTCCTGGACTTTACATACTTATATGCATGTGTTGTAAGCAGTGGGAACAGCACCAGGTGTTAGACTCGTGGGGTCAGACCTGACCTGAGTTCAGCATCCTTGGTACTTGGGTTCTGGCTAGGAAAGAATTCAGAGCCAAGACTCCAACTATAAGAGGACATTTATTTGGTAAATCACCAAGGTAGAAAAAGTAATTCCTAGAAGAAATGGGCTTAGGAAACAAGTTATAGAGGCAAAGGAAGGGCACTTGGATCTTGGGAGAGAGGAAGCTAATGGTAACTTGCACGGGAGCAGGGAAGGGAAAGGGAGAGGGATATGCTCCAGCATGCTCCCAGGAGGGAGTATGCTGGGTCCTCTGTCCTCCTGGTTGTTTTTATTTGTTTGCTTGTTTGTTTGTTTGTTTGTTTTAACACTTTATTAAATTTATTGGGGTGACAATCGTTAATATGAACTTATAGGTTCCAGGTGTGGTTTTCTATGTTACAAGATCTGTATCTTGCTCTGTGTGCCCACCACACAAACCTAATGGTTCTAAGGGTGGAGGTTTTAGGAGGTCCCAGGGGAAGGTCTCGTCCAGGTGTGACCTTTCAGGGTTGTGGTCTCCACTGCCTTGGCAGGGGTCATTATCCAAAGCAACTGGTCCTGAGGTCAGCTCTGGCTGGTGTTGTTGCTTTTCTGGGCCTAGAGCTGAAATACAACTGAGTCCTAGATGTTATGTCTAGGGAAGAAAGTCCAGGGGGCCCATTTGACCAGCAATGTGTTAGGGGAGGAAAGGCCACCCCGGGGGTGAGGTCCCACTCTACAATTGCCTTTTGCTAGCCATCTGGGGCTTTCCACCCCAATGACCTTCAGTACCTAGCCCATCGTTCTTTCTCTCCTCATATCTGTCTAACTGCCTACCACGCGTGCAGCTCCAACTATGTGATTCCATTTTTACACAAAATCACAGCTCTAAGGGAGCCCACGAGACGTGCAATCAGGGGAGCAATGGGCAGAGGCAGCTCAGTCCCAGGGGCTCTCCCTCCAGGGAGCATGCCCATGCCATTCCCGTCCCATTCTTCTTCCCCTACAGGCACATGTCCCCTAACCTCTAAGGACCCCATGAGACTTGTAACCAGGGGAGCAATGGGCTAACCCACTGAATCTGTCTCCAAGGCCCCCTTTTCCCCTTTTCTCTGACTTCCCAGTGAGCCAAAGCAGCCCAGCCTAGGCTCTCCTGTTACTTCTGTGCCCTTCCTTGTTTCATTGTCCTAAATATATTTTTGCTGAGGTCAATAAATTCTTGCTTTCTTTTCTACACTTTGTCCCTTGATTGAAATTTTTCCCTCAAGAAAACAAGGGCCGAGGTCTCATCATCTCCTGGGTAACATGGAACTAACTAAAGTTACACCTGAGGTGGTATTCTTTGATTACTATTATTTTTTTAATTTATCTTTATTGTTGAAAGTATTACAGATGTCCCTCTTTTTCCGCTATTGATCCCCTCCACCCTGCATCCACCCCAGGCCCCAGCCTTCCCCATACCAATGTCCATAGGTTATGCACATAAGCATAGAAGTTCTTTGATTAATCTCTTCCCACCTACTTCCCCACCCCCTCCTTCCCTCTGAGATCCTTCAGTCTTTGATTATTAATTGCAGGGAGTGTGCCCCTGTATGAAATCTACTTATTGGTATTTACGTATTTACATGTGTCACTTAAGTTACTGGAATCTTTTTGACAGGAGGGCCTTCCTAACAGGAAGCAAAGCAAAATGTAAGAAATCCTTTCTTTTAAAACTCTAAAACTCTGGAACTAAAAGTAGAGAATCTATATATTTGGTTTACAATTATTTTTTAAAGCCAGGGTAAATGCATGGATTTTTATATCCTGTGTTGAACTTTTTTCATGAGCTTGAGAATTTTAAATGAAAATCTCATTCCTCCAGAACTCAATTTAAACCTAGGGTAACCATCCTGGAGTTTCTGGAAAGCATGCACAGGTCTAGGTATTGATTCTCTGGCAACAAATTCTGAGGTACTTAAGACTCAAGCCAATAACTTTTTATTTTGGATGCTTTTCTGTTCAGACTACCAAGATGGCGACTGGTTTCCAGCAGAAAGTGGATTGTAGATAATTATAATTAATTATAAATAGGCAAACTATCTCAGTGATCCCCGACTATCAATCTCCAAACTAGTTACTCTAGAATCATCTGTGCAAATTTTAAAGTAATAGCTTATCTTGGATCCCTATTTTGGAGAGTCTAGCCTCTCTTGGTTAGAGTATGGGTCTGGGGTATGGCCCTAGAATCTGTTTTTTGTTTGTTTGTATTTAAATAAAAAATTCTTCCTGGGTGACTGATAAAATGCTAGGTTCAGGAATAGGATAAGTGATTCCAAGATTTCACTGAGTATCCAAATTCTATTCATGTTGGATAATTCTATCTGATGTCTTGCTGACTAGTGATAATTTCCCACACTTTTAGTCTCTGAAGTAGCTCAAGCAAAAATTATTTGTTACATTTGAGTACTTAGCAGTATGGTAGAACTTTTCACATAATATCAAGATATATTTTCTATTTTCTTAATATGTAATTGTTCAAATTAATGGGTATAGCTGTATTTCATGAGGTACTCATTCCAAGTGTCAGACCCAGTACTGTCCTTGGCACCATTATCACACTGATATACAGCAAATGAAACTGAAGTTTTAGAAGGTTACATAACTTACTCAAGTCCATGTGAATTGTGTTGCTAAATGTTAAAATTTGGTCTAAAATGAATTTTACCTAATGTAATAAATGTAGCTTATAGCATCATTTTTTTAAAAGTATATTTCAACCACCCAGAAGTATATACTTTAAAAACATCAAAGAAAATGTTTTCCAGAAATAGAATATCTGAGTTAAAATTCATTTTGTTGCATATAAAACATATCCTACAAAAAAAAGTGAAGCTTTTCAAGACCTAGAGTTCATACTTTTCTGAAAAACAGATAAGCCTTATTTTTTTTATTATTTACTGATGAGAGAGATTGATTTGTTGTTCCATTTATTTTTTATTTTTTTAATCTTCACCCAAGGATATTTTTTCCATTGCTTTTCAAAGAGAGTGGAAGAGAGAGAGAAAGTAGGTGAGAGAGAGAGAGAGAGAGAGAGAGAGAAACATCAATGTGAGAGAGACACGTCGATTGGTTGCCCCCCACACGTGCCCTGACTGGGACCCAGGATCCAGCCTGCAACTGAGGTAGGTGCCCTTGGCCAGAGTCAAACCTGGGACCCTTCAGTCTGAGGGCCAACGCTCTAACCACTGAGCAAAACTGCTAGGGCTTCTTGTTTCATTTATTTATGCATTCGTTGGTTCATTCTTGTGTGTGCCCTGACCTGGGATCAAACTCACAACCTTGTTGTATCCGGACGACACTCTAACCAACAGAGCTACCTGGCCAGTGCCAGAAAAATCTTTATTTTGATGTAACACAGAAATATTTGCTAAAACGATTTTCAATATAATGAAGTCAGTTTGGGATAGTTTCTTATCTTAGTGTGAAGTTATGCTCTAAAAATAGGTTAGTATATTGGCATCTATCTCCTCTTTTTCCGTTGTTCCCAGGTTTGAGATTCACAGTGGTATTGTTTTAGAAGTTTGTCTTTACCAGTTCAAGTAAACTTACATTGTTTGAACATCATGAACTAGATCTCAAATTTAAGGAAGTTACAAAAGGAATTCAGTGGCTCTTTAGCAATTAGATGACTGTTACTTGTCTTGAAATAAGAATGTCATTTATACCAAAGGATGTAGTAACATCCCGTGCAATATAAACATTGTTGTATTAATTCTACTGCAGGATGACTTGGTGATATTTATCTTTGTACCTGTTTATTATAAATATTTCACAGGAGCCATGTCCTATGCAGAATTGGGAACAAGTATAAAGAAATCTGGTGGTCATTACACATATATTCTGGAAGTCTTTGGCCCATTACCAGCTTTTGTACGAGTTTGGGTGGAACTGCTCATAATCCGGTAAGTACACAAGCAGGAAAAAATTAAGGAAAAATAAACCTATGTGTTACACCCTTCATTGAATTACCTTGAATATTTTTAACTAATTAAAATATGCATATCATGTGACTATGCTGTAAATATATCTACTTCAGGACACAAAGTCTGTGATGAAATACCTTCTCAATTAACATTTCTAATGCAGTTTTCCCACAGGCAATAGTTCGCCAACCAAGCCAAACTTTGTGGTAGCTGCTTTTCTTTAATCTTCAATTATTCCCTATGGCATTTTCAAGGAAGATGTTAGCCTGAAAGGACAAGAAGCATCAAAATCCACCTTTATAAATCATACCTTTGACTTGCCAGACAAAAGGAAGTCCTATGCTAGGAACTGGAGTTGTTAGTCTTACGGATTACACCCCTAAGACAGTTAACTTGACTCAGGCTTTGTGACTAGGAACATTCTGTTCTTTTTCACAACTTAGCGTGTCACCAAGTTTAATGCTTTACAAAGAAATAAGACTTGACTTGACATTAATGACTCACTCCCCCATGTTAAATCAGTGGACTACAGTTGTGAAAATCTTTTCTCATTTTGTTGCTGTAGCAATGTGCTCTCTTCCCAAGACTCTTGGTTTAGAATCAAATCCAGTTGTGCTAAGTCACTCTGACCAGCAAGTTCTCTTCAACTTCATGGGAAATTTATGTCATTTAGAGTATTGCAGTTCCTAAGTTTAATTGCTTTCAGGAAACATGACTTGCATGTTCTGATCACTGAGTTTAATAGAATTATCTAGGAAAACTTATTCTTCCTGTAAACTTATCAGAGGTACACACCTGAGAGCCCATGAACTTTTATCTTATCATTTATTTGTGGGTAAGTGGCAAAGACAGAGTTAATAAGCATTGGCTTAACACTAATCTTGATCTTTATAGTCCTAGGAGTCTTTTTTTCTTTTTTTAATCATCACCCAAGGATATTTTTTCTATTGCTTTTCAGAGAGAGTGGGGGG